TTGTAAATTCGAATTTTAAAAATAAAGATTTATTATTATATTAAAATATCAACTCTTTAATTTTAAATTTCAAAACTAATATTTTCCGTTGTAAACGAAGCACTTCAAATTCATAAATATTAATTTTAGTCTTGTTGCGAAATTTTGAACACATTGTTACATTTTTTGAAATAACATTCTTTGATTTTGTTTACCCTTAATAAAATTAAATTCACTATTTTGTAATTTTGGATTACTTATCATCATACAAAATATGTAATTTATAGTGCGAAGAATGCAAAAAATAAATATCTTTTTTACGTTGCAATGCATATGTTAATTAACACTTTTTCGAAAGAATCTAAAATATATACGTAGTAGTAAAGTTTTGAAATAATATTTTATAGTAACATATTAAATTGTGATATAAAAACAATAAAATGGAGAAATATTAGACACAAGTACTTTTTTAGATTTTTTTCTATTTTTAATTTCGATTTTATAATTTATTTTTGGTGTTTTTTTGAAATTTATTTGATCAATTTAAGGTCAATAAACTGCTCTCTTCGATCAAACGGTCACTTCTCTATCTAAAAATAATCGCTCTCTCCAATCTCTAAAATAAACCTTACGCCCCTTCCTTGCGAATCTGGCAGAGACCTAGCTATCTTCTCGTCCCTCTGGTTCCCCGACCATGGGGGAGCCTCCACCGCAACGCTCTTGGGCATCGGTGGTTTCCGGCCAGCCCAGGAAACAACTGAATGCTAGAGACGACCCGTCGCTGCAGCTTCTTGTTGGGAAGCACAAAGGATGCTTTGCGGTCAAAATACCTAAGGCCAGGTCGGACCTTCTCGCCGCAGACCTGAAATACTCTCTCATTGGTACCTTTCTAAAGGGACGCCCTCCGATTCTTGCAATTCGTAAGGTCTTTGAAGCCCTGAGCTTTAAATCGTTTACTATCGGTCTTTTATACAACAATGAAATTCTCATTTCTTTTACTGATAAAAATGAGTACATCCGTTGTAGAACCAGGCAACCCTGGATTATTCATGGTTATACAATGAGGGTGTCTAGATGGTACCCTGGTTACCATCCGGGTAGGGAATCCTCATTCGTTCCCTGCTGGATTCATTTTCCCCACCTCCCCTTCCATCTATTTGATGTAGATTTCTTGTTTGAACTCTGTTCCAATTTTTGTCAACCCCTTCGCTGCGACAAACCCACGTTGGACATGAAACGTCCTTCCGTGGCCCGTATACTTGTTGAAGTTGACCTCCTTAAGCCAATCCCTGATAAATTCTTGCTTGAGGATGATGGGTACGAGGGGTTTTGGCAGTACATTATTGTCGAAGAACAACTTCCCCAATATTGTAATACTTGCTACCACATTGGTCACAGTGATGCTAATTGTTCCAAAAAACACCTCCCTCCCCAACATGAGGTTCGCCAGGGACAATTTAATGCTCCTAAACTTGACCTTATCCATAGAAAAGATAAGGCCAAAGAGGTGGCCTCAAATAGCAACATTCACACTAGCCAATCTTTGACTTTCTGGCAAAAGAAAGGCCCTTCTAATTTTGAAATTGGTCAGACCTCCGGTGTGCTGATAGGTGAGGAAAACGAACCCATTATAGAGCAATTTGTTGATGCCCTGCAACACATTGAGGAAACTCAACCTCAGTCCAATAATGCCCTGGCTGCTGACCTGGACAATCAATCTCCTAACCTGATCAACCAAATCCAGACCATAACTGAGGTAGCCCTCACTGACCCCTATGATAATCATCACTCCCACAACTGCAATTGTGTTACACCAGCCCTCCCCCGGTGACAAATTGATCCTAAATGATCTAAGTCAGTCCACGAGTGATGAAATTGATACTATGGTTGAGGATTTGGACCCCAGAACCACAAATTATGATGGGGAGCCAGCCAAGAAAACCACAAATTATGGATCACCTAGTCCCTCAGGCCCTTCCAAACAAAAAACTAGACCCCTAAGAGAGCCTTAAACCTTAAGGCCAAAGAAATCTGCCCAAACTTCTAATCTTAGAGATTAGTTTTCTTTTTTGGAATGTTTGTGGGATTGGGAACACCCAATCTTCTGATCGTTTAAACCTTCTTTGCAAAAATAATAATGTTAATTTAGTTGCTATCATTGAGCCTAAGATTAATACCAGCAATTTAACCAATAAAATGATGAGTTTTGGTTTTGATCATGCTTACGCTCACTCAATTAATAAAATCTGGATTTTTTGGCATAATGACCTCACTGTCACTGTTATATCTGATTTCAACCAGTGTATTAATCTCTCGGTTGTCTCCAATAGCATGATCTCCCCTATTTATATCTCTGTTATCTATGGTGCTAATGACAGAGCTACTAGAAGAGCTCTTTGGACTGACCTTACCAATTTCAGAGATGGCAATGAGGATAAACCTTGGCTTCTAGGGGGGATTTCAATGTAATATCCAATATGATGGAATATAAAGGCAAGAGTACTCCCTGTAAGTCAGATATGGATGATTTTAATGCCTTTATCTATGCCAATAGTTTGACTGAGTTACATTTCCTTGAAACCCCGTATACTTGGATTGGGAAAAGGATGCATGGGCTTGTCCAAAAAAAACTGGACCGGATTATGGTTTCCACTGAGTTACAACAACTTAACTGGTCCTTATCCCTTAAAAAGCTTAATCGTTGCGTTTCCGACCACAATCCTTTGCTCCTCCTTGAAAACAAAAATAATATTTCTGGCCCCAAGAACTTTAAGTTTCAGCATATGTGGACTCAACACAAATCTTTTCTTGAAATTGTCAAGGCTTCCTGGGATAATCCCAGTGATGGGTATGGCATGTGGAAGTTTTCTTCAAAACTAAAACGCCTAAAAACTGATTTAAAGGAATGGAACAAAAATATTTTTGGAAATATTTTCAATAAATTGTCTGAAGCTGAAACTGATATAGCTATTCTTGAAAAACAGCGCTGATGATATTTGCAATTCTGTTGTTGCCTATTACTCTGACTTACTTAATGCAGATGATGAAACTGATTCCCTTGACCATGCGGATTACCTCAGGAATATTAAACAGATTATCTCTGAGGAGGATAACATTCACTTAATGAGGCCTATTACTAAAGATGAGCTCAAGGAAGCCGTCTTTAGCCTAGGCAAAAACACTGCCCCTGGAATTGACGGGTTCGATGGTGTTTTCTACCAATGTGCTTATGATATCAGTGAGGATGATCTTTTTAACGATGTGCGTGAATTCTTCTGTGGGGTGCCTGTCCCTAAAAGCATTGAGCATACCTTGATTGCCCTTATCCCTAAAGAGCCTAATGCTTACAAGTTTTCCAAATTCAGGCCTATTAGCCTTAGTAATTTTTCAAAAAAAAAATTACTAAAATTCTCACTAATAGGATTACCCACCTGCTGCCCAAAATCATCTCTGATGAGCAATCTGCCTTTCAACCAGGCAAAGAGATCTCTGACGGTATTCTTGTTCTTAGGGAATTGGTTAATCACATTAATAAAAAGACACGTGGGCATAACATTATTTTTAAATTCGATATGGCTAAAGCTTTTGACCGTATATCTTGGCCTTTTATTAACAGTGTCCTTCTTAGCTTTGGTTTCCGCCCTGCCTTTATTAAGCTTATTATGAATAATCTGCATGCTACTTGGTGCTCGATTTTGATTAATGGCGCTCCTAAAGGTTTTTTCAAGCCTTCTAGAGGCGTAAAGCAGGGTGATCCCCTCTCCCCCATTTTGTTTATTATTGTGGCTGAAGTTCTATCCAGGAATTTAAAGCTGTTTTACTCTTCTGGGAGAGGTACGCCTTTTAATACTTATCGGGGTATGCCTTGCATTTCACACCTTTCTGGGCCTTCACAACACTATCACGGAGTACGAAAAATACTCTAGGCAGCTTATTAACAAGGATAAAAGTTTTTATCTTATTTCTAAACATTCAAAATTCCATAATTGCAATGTTGTGAACCATATCTTCCATATCAATAAGGGCTCTTTCCCCTTCACTTATTTGGGAGCCAAGATTAGCTCGGGGCGCACCCTTAATGGGCATTTTGACTTCATTTTGACTCAAATTGATAATAAACTTTCGGGCGAAACACAGGATCCTTTCGACCGGTGGTAGGATAATTTTGATTAATCATGTCCTTAACTCCCTACCCCTTTATCATATGGTTGTTTCACCCATCCCTATATTACTGTGATGCGTAATATGGAGCGTAAACTTGCTAATTTTCTTTGGGACAATAACAACAATCATAAAAGGCACATTTGGCGTAAGTGGGACAAAGTTTGTTATCCTATTACTGAAAATGGGCTTGGTTTTAGGAGTCTCCTCCATATTAAAAAAACTTTCTTTATGAAACTGCTTTGGAAACTTAAACACGGTAAAGGGATCTGGGCGTCTTGGGTCAGCTATCTTAAGGATAATACTTGCTTTATCATGTATAACTTGCTTGCTTCTGTTCGGCACACTTTTGATAGTAATTGTTATGTACAGGTTAATAATGGGTGCAGTTCATTTTGGTTCTCTAATTGGTGTAACCTTGGGCCCCTTTACCACTACCAGGATGATATCACCCCCACTGAGGCCAACTTGACCATAAGGTATGCCATATCGGATTCTGAGGTGAAACCTGCTGTCCAAAACAAGCTGCCACGCTATGTCATTGACACTCTTCACGCTATGAATATTCAGTTTGGTATCAACAATGATATCAACATTTGGCAACCGAATCCTAATGGCATGTTCAGTTTTAATAGCGCATATGATGTCAATATGTCATTAGACCCTAAAATAATTTGAGTCCAGGAGCCAAGTACTTATGGAACACCCGTATCCCGAAAAAAATCTCTTTCTTTTTATGGAGACTCAACAATGATCTTTTACCATTTCCTGTCAAACTAAACCTTTTTGGCATACATGGCCCCTTCAAATGTCCTTTTTGCAATAACATGGATACCATAGAACACTTTTTCCTTCATTGATGTTTTGCTAAAACTATTTGGCATCACTTTGAAACCATTTTAGATTTCTGTCCAGCTAAGTCTGGTACCTTCATTAGTTACATTAATAACTGGTACCTTGACTACCATGGCCCTATTATTGATTTCAATTATCTTTTACCCAACATAGTAACTTGGCATCTTTGGAAGGTCCGTAATAAGGTCCTTTATGATAACAAATTGGGTCATATACCTGAGGCTATAAATGTTATTAAATATGATATCTTTGCCATTTCGGTTGTCAGACCCCTCACTGCCACCATTGTCACTGCCCCTTTTAACATCCAGATGATACCTCCCAAAAAGAGCCCTAAGACTGCCACTCTTAGCAGCTGGATCAAACCGCCGATCAACACCTATAAAGTTAACTTGGCTACCATAAGGCTCACGTCCAACATCACCCGCTCGGCTGCCATCATCCGTAATCATGAAGGAAGTTATATTGGGCATGCAACCCATTTGGCTAGCCAAAACCAAACAACCAATGCCTCCTATGATGCCCTTGATTATTTCATCCCTCTCTTAAACAACATTGTGCCTACTAACGTTATCTTTGAAGTTGATGATAGGAATGTTTATGAAGGGATAGCTGGTGTCTCACTTCAACATTGGAAATATTGGCCAAAGATCCACAAAATCCAGAAAAAAATCAAAACAAACACTTGGTCGGTCACCTACGTTAATCCAAAAATTAACAGAGCAGCGGAATTCCTTGCTTACCACAGCATGTCCATCAAAACCAATGGTCATCATTTTAGTCAATTTGTTGGTATTCTTAAGTTTGATGTTGTAAGTTTCCCATATGTTGTGTAATCTTTCATTGAGTAGGCTTTGGTCTAGCCCTCTTACTCATGTATACTTTCCTGATTTTAATAAATTGGTGAGGTGTTTCCTGGCCCTCACCCCAAAAACTCTCGGGTTTTTGGCTTAAACCGGGTTAAAAAAAAAGGTCAATAAGTTTAAATTTGCTCCTTTATAAGAACATGAAGGGTATATGTACACTTTCACATATACTTCAAGGGTATATTTATTCACAAAAATAGAACACGAGTATATTTGTTCTCACACTCATAATAGAAGAATATATTCGTACTTTTTCTCCCCTTTTCAAAATCACTTTTTCTCCGCACATTAACTTTTATTTAAATCGGTACACTCAGACGGTACGGTATATTATGCCTCAATCGGTGCCAACGGGTGAAGGTGAGCAAAAGAGGTTCTCAGTCGGTGGAGGGGTTGATAGCATTAGCCTTTAAAAAGGGAAATTGTTTTTATTTGATAGTCCTTCCGCTATCAATGGAATATACCGCCGTGGTTGCCGCCGACGAACGACGGAAGGCTCAGTCGCGGCCTAAGCGCTTTGTGAAGAGCCAAATCCCAGATTCGGTACTGAACGATGCGGCTCTCAACTCTGCCATCTCCCTCCTCCCAATCAACTATAACTTCGAGATTCACAAATGTGTTTGGCGCATCCGATGCGGGCAGGCTAAACGCGTCGCTTTGCAGTTCCCGGAGGGCCTCCTCATGTATTCCCTCGTCATCGTCGATATCATCTCCACTTTCACTTCCGTCACCGACTGCTTTGTTCTCGGCGACGTCACCTACGGCGCCTGCTGCGTGGACGACCTATCAGCCGGCGCGCTCTCCGCCGACCTCCTGATTCACTATGGCCACAGCTGCCTCGTTCCCATTGATGTCACCACAATCCCCTGTCTCTACGTCTTCGTTGAGATCGCCATCGATGTACGCAAACTTCTGGACGAATTAAAAAACAATTTCTCTCCGGAGCAGTATGAAAATTTCATTATGGCCGGTACAATCCAGTTCTCTAATGCAATTCGAGCCGTTAAACCGGAGCTTGAAAAGCTAGGGTTTAGGGTTTTGATACCACAATCCAAGCCCCTATCAGCGGGAGAAGTCCTCGGGTGCACCGCTCCAACTGTAAGTAGGAAGATTTGCAGTCCGGAAAGTGCAGTTTTGGTCTTCGTTGCGGATGGGAGGTTTCATCTGGAGGCATTTATGATAGCAAATCCAATGATAAAGGCATACAGGTACGATCCATACATAGGGAAGCTGTTTGTTGAGGAGTATGATGAAGAGGGGATGAAGGATGAGAGGAGAAAAGCAATAGAGAAGGCCAAGGGGGCAAGGAATTGGGGAATAGTCTTGGGGACGTTGGGGAGGCAGGGAAACCCCAGGATATTGGATCGGTTGGAGAAGAAGATGGAGGAGAAAGGGATGAGTTGGACGGTGATAATGATGTCAGAAATCTCTCCTGCTAGAATAGGTTTGTTTGATGATTCCGTGGAAGCTTGGGTGCAGATAGCCTGCCCCAGGTTGTCCATTGATTGGGGCGATGCGTTTGGGAAGCCGCTTCTGACTGCTTTTGAAGCCGAGATTGCTTTGGGGGATCTTGCTGGTTGGTGGGAGAGAAGAAAGTCTGGTTCCCCACAATTTTGCGCATGCAACAGGAAAGAAGAAGAAGAAGATTATTACCCAATGGATTATTATTCCCAGAGTGGCGGGGAGTGGAATTCTTGCTACTCTAAGAACAAGACTGCCTCAAAAACATCACAAGAAAAGAACACACGCAATCTTTGCAGCTCCCCATCAACTGCTGGTTGCTGTTAAGATTTCCCCCAGCGGGCTATTTTCGTTCGATTGATGACCGACTATATTTCGACATTCGATGGAGAGGAAAATGGTTTTATTTCCCCTCTGCCTTTGCTTATAGAGTGCATTGTTGAAGGCTAGAAGATATCTGGCTGTTTTTTATACAATTAATTAACTAGCAATAAAGTTGGTATTAAGCTAGCTGTTTTTTGTAATCTTGGTGTCGGATTTACATTCTCCAAGTCTATAAACTACCCTCCAAAGCCTCTAGGAGGGTAAATCCGAATCCATCACAATCAACTTCGTTGGTGTTGGCTCCAAATGAATTTGGTGTTGGGTCCAAATGAATTTCAACAATTCTTGATGTGCACTTTTACGGTTTAAAAAATGCCTTCACAGGCATGTGTACAATAAAAGTGTTTATAAAAGTCTTTTTAATGAATTTATCTTTTATTATTATTGCTATTAATAACACTTTTTCCATCATATCCAATGACCCCAGAGACTTACTGTTTTTTATTTGGTACTATAATAAAATAAAGCAAAATGGTTCACTAAACTGTTGACGCTTTTTATTATAAAGCATAATTCGTGCAATTTTCGATGTGATTTTCCACATGTATAATCCGGAAACAGTCTTTATGTGCTTTAGGTCAAAGGTAAAGTTGTGTTTATTCAGCCCTCTCTTACCTCACCATAGGTGGGAGCCGTTGTAACACTCGGATAATATTGTTGTTTTCTTGTTGCTATTAATAGCACTGTTTCTATTTAACAGAGGGAGGTTGGGGTTGACACCCCCCATTGGAGGGAGATTAGATGGTGGCTTCGTAGGTGACCAACACAATGAGCCTTCTCTGTTCCGTCACTTGGTTGGCCCCCACCTGAAGTCTCTCCTTGTTAGCTTGAAGGTTTGTTTGACTTTTCGCTCTCCTTGTCAGCTTGAAGGTTTGTTTGACTTTTCGCCAAAATGTGGCAAGATTTCCATCGCAGAAGACCCCAGGCCCCGACTAGATGGGATTCAGGTCTGGAGAGTTTGGTCTATTTTCTTTGTAACCGGACTAGGGATGGACTGGGACGGGTCTACCCGGTCCGCCACTGTGCAGGCCCGGCCTAGCCCGGTTGACTGGGACTAGGCCCAGGACCCAACCCGGTAGAAGAAATAGGCGGGCATCAGGCTCTTGTTTTGGTAGACCGGCCCGGTCCGGGCCCAATTAATTTTTTTCCCCATTGGGCTGGCTGCTGGGTGGGGGTAGGACCGTAGGGGGATGGAATTAATTCGAAAAGACAAAAAAAAAAAATAGTAATAATAATAATAATAATAATAATAATAAAGGCCTGACCCGGTCCTGTTACAAACCCGAGCTAGTACCGGGCCTGATGTTTTTGGAGCTAAAGCCTGCCCAGACCCAACCCAATCCACCCCTAAACCAGACTATGCTAGGGAGATTGTCGGACCAGGCGGAGATGGGACAACCTGATGGCATCTAAGCCTAACATTATGAGATATCTGTAGGGGTGGATCGGGTCCAGTTCCGGTTCAGGCCAGGCCAGGCTTGGATGGTTTTGGGCAACGCCCGGGACCAGCCAAGGAGTCTACCGGTTCCGGTTTATTTTTGTGTTTTCTTATTTTTTCAACCCCCACCCCCCCAAACCCCTCAAAAACACCCAGCCCAGCCCAAACCCAAAAAAAAAAACAAAAAAAAAGAGGCCTGAACCGGCCGGGCCTAAACCCCCTCAGGCCGGGCCTAAGCCCGGTACCGGAACCGGTTTCCAGGGCCGGGCCAGGCCTGCACAGTAGCGGGCAGGGCTGGTCAACCCGAACCGAGTCAATGCCTAGATGTCCGCCCACGTTTCCTACACACTCATGGCAACTAAAGAAGGAACCAAGGATTCCTTAGTATTTTGGGTGTTCTTATACATTTAGGGAGTATTTGGCAATCGGCTGTTGGCTAATTGTTTTAGCTAATTGATGATAGCGGATTCGGTTGACTGTTTTGACTGGCCGAAATTATTAGCCGTTCTTAAAATGATGTTTGGTTAAATGGTTGTTTACATTCAGCTGATAACTTGTTAAATGACATGAACGGACATCAATTATTTTTTTATTAATTTAATTGGTAAATCTCTATTTCTTCAATTAATAATCCATTTCTTTTTTATGAGAAGATTATTGACCGAATAACACGAGAGAGTGCTACCCCAATGGGAACTGCTTTCTATCCATCTCTGCACATTTCCAGCCCCAGTCTATCCCACCCACACAAGGCCGAACCTCTTGTTGAGGCAAAGAGGCAATTGCCTCAGGCCCCAAAATTCTATTAAAAAATACGGGCCCATAAATAATTTTGTATTTTATATATACAATTTTTGTATTTTATAGTAAAATAGCAGGAATACAAATAATATCAATCAAAATAATATCATGCATTATGTGGTTTTTAATTATTTGATGTAAAAATGTAAATTAAATTAGTGCTTATGAATCTTAATATCCAAATTTTACATTACTCAAAGGCCTTTTACAAAAAATCGACTTGGGCCAAAAAAATGTTAGGATCGGCCCTGCACCCACACCTTTCTTCAACCATAGAACACACTAGTAGGGGTGGACCGGTTCTGGGCCGGGTCCGGTTCGGGCCTTGAACCGGCCGGGCCTCGGTTCAACTGTTCAAGGTAGGGGAGGCCCGGAACCGGCCCGGGTAACCCCGGGTCCGGTTCGGGCCGGGCCCGGTTCGGTTCTATATAATTTTTTTTTTTTGGTTTTCCTAATCAACCCCCTACCCTCCCCCTCAACCCCAAACCACCTCAAATGGCCCAAAATACCCAATCCAACCCAAAAACTTAAAAAAAAAATCCAAAAAAAAAAATTAAATTCGGCCCGGACCGGGCCCGAACCGGCCGGGCCAGTTCACCAAAATGAAGGCCCGAGCCCGGAACCGGTAGCCACCGGGCGGGTCGACCCGAACCGCCCATGGGCCGGGCCGCCGGGCCGGGCCGGTTCAAACAGTGACCAGGCCGGTTCCGGTTCGGGCCACCCGGCCCGAGTCCAACCCTACACACTAGCAAAATCAAGGACTCCTTATCAAACAATTTCATTAATATACAAAAATCCAAGAAGCAGAGAGTACAAATAGAAATTCAGGTGAAAGAAGAAGTGTATTGGTAAAAATTCCGAGGAGATCAGAATCAGATACGTTTTTGCTTTGTTTTTAACTATCGGAGAAGGTTTTAGGTTCGCAAGATGATCTACTTGCTTTTTTTTGCTCTTTGGTGAACCTGGAAGTAGATTTAGGTTCCCAAGATTTTATTTCGATGGAAATTATTTCTGTAACTAGGAATAGATACAGAAAAGGCATGGGCAGGATGGGGAAGATATGGAACAGCCGATATAAACGCTAGGCTAGATGGCGTTTAATATTTTGGCTGTTTGGGAAAAAAGGCCAATTGGAAAAGGGTATATCCCAAACACTTTTATTAGCCGATTGATCTGGTCAAAAGGCCAAACACTTCGATGGAAATTATTTCTGTAACTAGGAATAGATACAGAAAAGGCATGGACAGGATAGGGAAGATATGGAACAGCCCATGATAAACGCTAGGCTAGATGGCATTTAATATTTTGGCTGTTTGGGAAAAAAGGCCAATTGGAAAAGCTATTTCCCAAACACTTTTATTAGCCGATTGATCTGGTCAAAAGGCTAAACCTAGTCAAATCAGCCAAAAAATGGCTGATAAGCTCTCAACCAAACACCCCCTTACTGTTTCATGACTTTCATCTAAAAGGTTTAAGTAATCCATCATCGAGTTAGCAGTGCCAAATATACCAGACTTAGAAATGGATGTAGTCAAGCAATAAGAAAGGTAGGTTTGCAAATTCACCTCAAACATACTTTTGTGTGGGGTTGGTTAGGGTGGAGGACTTGGAGGCAGCTTAAATTTACCAACCGACCTGCCTAAAAATCTATTTAGAACCCAACAAGTAAATTCAGGAGCACGGTTCAAATAGAGAGATAATAAAGATGAATCCTTGAATAGAGAGTATGGTATGGGGTTAAAATGCAGCACTAAGGTAATAGTTTTAATTGGGGAGGGATTCAAAACAAGTTTGCAGACATTTGCAAATACGATGACGAAATAAACAAATTTCACCTTTAAAGTTTGTTCTGAAACTTAAACTCACTGCCGCAAAGCAAGAGGGGGGGGGCAATCAATCCATAAAAGTACCATCAAGAAAACAAAAACACATGCTAATGAGAAGAAATAGTCTCTATTATGCTGCAACAAGGTCAGGAGTTTCAGCCTCCACAGATAACAAAGCAGTGTGTACTTTGTCGACCCAGCTGTCCAGACGGTCTCTCAACGACTGGACTTGGGGAATACCTAGAACCCTTGGTTGCACCCATGAAACATATACGCTTCCCTCAACTTGATCGATTATTCCCTCTATCAAATGCACCTGCCATGCCCCACCATTATACCACTATTACGGAGCATGTAATACCCTTTTCTAATCTATTGAACATCAGCCAGTATTTTGCCAAAAACCAACTTAATGGACAATATAACATGCTTGCTTATAGACTAAGCCTTCACAGATTCTCTCCGAAACCCTGCATCCTAACAGACCCTTATACTAAAACATGTTCTTAGAATGGTAGAGTATGAACTTACAGAAAGACTCTTCATAAGAAGGTACTCCACATCTTCAACTGTCAATTTCGTGCGCTCCGCAATGATATTCAGCGGAATAGTTCTATCCTCAGATGGGCGACTGCAGGGGAACAACATATTTATATGATCAAATGGCAATAAATACTGGTCCAGAACATTTTACTTTGCACACGGGGGGGGGGGGGGGGGGGGGGGGCTATTATCATACCTGAAGATGATTTCCATCAAACAGAGAATGTTGATCTTTTCTGAGAGCTTTTTCTCATTTTGCACCAGTGCAGGTTGAGCATTCAGTGCATCTTTATGGACATTGCACAACGATTGATAGCGAACCAAATCTCCAGCATTGAATGCTTCAAGAATATGGTAGAGCCACTCAACCTTTGTCCCTAGGAGACTCCTGATCTTTGAAACAAACTTAAAGAATTCAGTTTTAATGAATAGATTTAAATAGTTCTGCCAATTAACAGCACCATGAAAACATTTTTCATCTTATCCATCGAGTAATTCTTCAAAACTCTAAACAGATTTTATGGTTCTGTCTGGATAGAGGGGTTTGGAGGGGAAGGTTATGTTTAGACGGGCTTAGACCATACCATATTTCAATATATTTGAATACTTTAAGAGTTTATAATTATTACTCCGTCTCTCTGGCAGACACCTACCGGACCGATGGCAGACGAAATCCAGTGGGTCTGATTTCTATCTAAAATTTATGCAGCATATTACTAGTCAATTTTTGTGAATGGAATTAAAAGTGAATGTTTGTTTTGTATGAGAAAAATGAA